CTATACTGTCCTTGTCCAGAAAGGAAATAAAGACATCATCAAAGTAGTCCATGTGACATCAGTGGGTTAGTTAGAATTTTTTTCAAGCATTGAATTCTCAATGCTGAATAAAGTTGTAATTTTTGTTATTTTTGGACCAAAAAGTATTTTCAGTGCTTAAAAAAATTCTAACTGACCCACAGATGGTCACATGGACTACTTTGATGATGTCTTTATTTCCTTTCTGGACAAGGACAGTATAGCGTACATACATTTTCAATGAAGGGACCGAAAGCTCTCTGACTAAATCTAAAATATCTTAAACTGTGTTCCGAAGAATGAACGAGGTCTTACGGACTTGGAACGACATAAGGACATAATGACATCATTAATGACATAATTTTCATTTTTGGGTGAACTAACCCTTTAAAACAATTTTACTGAATCACAATGCCATAAAATATTTCATGTGGTCTTAGCAGACACATTAGAATAATAATAATAACCATTTGTTACATGGAACAATTTCCAAAAATTAAGGACCCGGATACAGAGCAGGTATTTTTAGTTAGATGGATGCAGTCACTGTTGCTCTTGATCGTCTCATGTTTCCCTCCTTCAAGTGTTGCTGACTTTCTCAGTGGCTGTAGTTGTCTGCGATTGTTCCCGTCTAAGAATCTGCTTCAACTCACAGATGTTAAGCTTTTTGCTAAGGACATTGCTGAAACAACATACATTTTTTATAACAGCACCTAACTGGCTCAAGCAAATGTCTGTCAGATGCGTGTCCTATTTTCCATGTGCTCGCCAGCTTCAGCAGATGATGTAAAGTTCTTTGGTAGTTTCTTTGTTTTCCCTAAATTCTGTAACCATTACCCAGTTGGATCTGATTCATGACTCACTGCGTGGAGCACAGCAAGACATAGGAAGATAACCGTTTGTCAACACGGTTTGCCCAGGAAGCAATGCTTGATCACAGGAAATAAAATAAATAAATGATGATAATAATAATAACTGAAAGAAAACAGAATTGATCATTTTTATGAAGTATACCAATAGCACAGGTTGACAGCTGTCAAGACCTATTTGTGGTAAAAAAAAAAAAAAAGTGATAAAAATGGTCTGTACAGATGTATACAAATATTGTTGCTTTATACTTGGATATTTAGTTTGGCTTTATCACCGTGTCCTTGAAATGAACACGAATAATATCTTGGATCCAATTTTGTTTGCATGTCCTGCAGTATTTCTGTACCTGCAGCAGAATCTTCACTAGAGGAACTCAGACAGAAGCAGTTCACTGCAAAAAATAAATAAATAAAATAAACAGGCTGAATTTGATCTGCAATTTGAAGCTAACATATCACGTCACATTAGAAGTGGACTTTCACAGTCGACGATCAATTTCCCTGACATCTTGTTATTTTTCCCCCTCTTCACCCTCCCCTTTTCATTTCCTCCATTTCACGAAACCTCTTTTATCTGTATGTCTGCTCTCTTAGGGCTGGCTTCGGCCTCAAGAAGCCTCTAAGGATGAATATGGTGAAGAGGATCATGGGGAGGCCGCGGCAGGATGAGTGCAGCCCGCAGGACAACGCGCTGGGACTCATGCACCTGCGCCGCCTCTTCTCCGAGCTCTGCCACCCGCCGCGCCATATGACACAAAAGGAGCAGGAGGAGAAGCTCTACATGATGCTGCCTGTTTTCAACCGGGTGAGAGAGAGAGAGAGAGAGCTGTTTACTTAAAGAGACAGCATCATCACCTAATATGCATCAGGATAATGCGATTTATGTATAAGAGGCGGACTGAATGTAGAGGGATTCACAAAGATGCAGCCTCTCAAGTCAAAATGCATTAAGACAAGTGTAATAGACACGATTGTATTGCATTGCTGATGCTAAATGTAACCCGTGGTGATTTTTCTTTCTTTCTTTTTTTGTTACCATTAAACAACAGTTTAGTGGAGTGACGAGACAACAACAGCAGGATTATCCCCCCCTGAAAAAAAATAAATCCCCCTAAATTTTTACACTATTGTTCACAAGTTTGTGGTCTGTAAGAATTTTCTGGGGGAGAATTTAATACTTTTATTCAATAAGGATGCATCAAATTGACCAAAAGTGATAGCAAAGACTTATATTTTTGCAGAAAAATTATTTTACAAATAGATTCTGCTCTTTTGAACGTTGTATTCATCAAAGAATCCCCAAAAAATATAAACAAAAATATATTTTTAATAAGTACTCTTTTTAACATTAATAATTATAGAAATATTTCTTCAGCACCAAATCAGCATATTAGAATGATTTCTAAAGGATCATGTGACACTGAAGCTGAAAATTCAGCTTTGATCACAGGAATAAAATACATTTTAAAATGTATTCAAATAGAAAACAGTAATTTTAAATTGTTATATTTCACTATGTTATTATTTGTACTGTATTTATGATGCATCTTTCAAAAACAGAGAAAATCTTACCAACCTTAAACTTTTAAAAAGGTAGTGATTATGTATATGCCACAATCAGTCAACTGTATATTGTTTGAAAGCAAGAACATTAAAAAAAAAATCTTCTTTTATTTTTAAACCACTATAGAGTTTTTTTTGTTTTTGTTTTTTCAAAACCTGTCATTAAACCAAATTGTCCACACTTTGATTTTGATGTTAACCTAAACAATGTGATGAAGTGAACCAAAAGTGATTACTTCATTTACAAAGGCTAAGTAGTCGTTATGACATCAAGTGACTCTCACAGGCTGGAGAAGAGCATGATGGTGCTGCTAATCATCCAGCATTGATTATGCAGAAACACTGCAGATGACCTCATCATTGTGCACGAAAGAGCGCTGACCTGCTGTAGAGGCACTTGTAGAAGTGGGATGAAACATGCTCTCTATTTACAAAGCTGTCATACTTCATTAAACGATGCAAATCAGAATTAAAACCACAGTGTCTCAGATTTTAATTTCTTTAAACAGCGAGATGGCTGACATTAGATTTAAGCATTGCAGTCTTGTGCCTCTTATGAATGTTTGTGGTTTATACAAATTTGATTGGACACTCAGCCTGTGAGCCAAATGCTGAACAAGAGCAGTTTTCAGAGCTCCTGTGAATGTCTTATCTTTGCTGCAATGAAAGATGAATAACTACAAACCGAGCACACAGCTCTTTAGACATCAAGGGAGCGATTGCTTATTAAATCTCAGCTTTAACTCAACAGGTCCCCATGTTTGTAGAGGAGAAAAAAGGACAGCATGAAAAGAAGGTTGTTTGAGCTCTGTAAATGGTGTTTGTGTGTGTGACAGGTGTTTGGGAACGCTCCACCGAGCTCCATGAATGAGAAGTTTTCAGACCTACTGCAGTTCACTACGCAAGTGTCCAGGTTGATGGTGACTGAGATCAGACGGAGAGCGTCTAATAAATCAACAGGTACTTCAACTATCTATTTCCTGTTTGTTGTCCTATTTTTAGTTTAACTGCTTCTATTGTTCTCATTTGTAATTCGCTTTGGATAAAAGTGTCTGCTAAATGAATAAATGAAGAGTTCAGATGCAAAAGCCTCTAAGTGCCATTTGAAATTTTCTTCTAGAATGATCATTTTTATCAAGCCTGTATATTTAAGTTCAGTGATTTCACTTAAATGGCAATGATAATTACCTATGAATTGTTATTTAAGTGAAATTACTGAACTTAAATATACAAGTTTGATAAAAAAAATCATCATTAAAGAAGAAAAATTCAAATGGCATTTAGAGGCTTTTGCATCTCAACTCTTCATATATATATAATATATATATATATATTCTACAGTTATGTCTACAGTTATTCCAACTACAGTTCAAACTTTTGGGGTTGGTAAGATTTTTTTTAAAGTTTTTGAAATAAGTATATTATAATGAGAGATTCACTGAAGAAGGGTGATTGCCGAATCGTTTTATTGATCTATATGCTTTGTTGCATAATAATAATAAAAAAAGAAAGAATATTGGGAAATTGGCTTTTGGCTTGCTTAGTTGGGTACATTAAATTTAACATTTAATTTAATATTCAACAATAATATTGATTTGCCTGAGATTATATGAGAACTGAACTGAGCTGGGCGATGACATAGCGGTTTTCTCCAGAGCGTCTACATTTACATTTACATTTAGCTGACGCTTTTATCCAAAGCGATTTACAATTGCTATTTATGTCAGAGGTCGCACGCCTCTGGAGCAACTAGGGGTTAAGTGTCTTGCTCAGGGACACATTGGGGTCTCACCGTGCATTCAAACCCGTGCCTCCCACACCAAAGGCATGTGTCTTATCCACTGTCCCATCACCACCCCCTGTTTATATACTGTTTATAAATTAACTAAATTAATAACTTTTTTACAACAAAATTAAACATTATTGAACTTACTTAAGCTGGACTGTGATGTTTTTTTCTTCTGAAAACAAACTTTGCTGCATTATTTTCCTGTTATCTCTGTAAAGCTGCTTTGAAACTATCTGCATTGTAAAAAGGCGCTATATAAATACATTTTACTTGACTTGACTCACCAAGGCTGTATTTTGTCAAAATACAATTAAAACAGTAATATTGTTAAATATTTTGACAATTTAAAATAACTAATAGTTTTCAGTGTGACATAATTCTTCAGGAAATCATTCTTATATGCTGATTTGGTAACATTTATTAATTTCATCAATGCTGAAACAGGGATTTTTTTTGCAGGATACTTTAAAGTTCCTAAGACCAGTATTTGTTTGGAATGGAAATATATTGTTAAATTAAAATTCTCTTCAATATCTCTTTTGATTAATTTAATGGTTCCTTGATAAAGACAAGTATTCCTAAAAAAATAAAGACAAGTATTCATAGTGTTTTTGAGTTCTCTTTCTTTTTTGGTTTTGCTTAAAAAGGATAGTTTACCCAAAAGATTAGTTATGTAAAGGCAATAAGAGGCAGTATAATCATTTTAATTTCAGATATGTTTGAATAGTGATGTTCCCTGATATAATTGCTGTACATCTTAGGTTGGAGCAGGCCAAAGAGGATGAAGCCAAAGATGCTCTAAAGGACCTGGTGAACCTGGTGACCGCTCTGACCACGTACGGTGTCAGTGAGCTGAAGCCAGCTGGTCTCACCACCGGAGCACCCTTCCTGCTTCCAGGCTTTGTGGTTCCACAGCCTTCTGGGAAAGGTTAGTCCTCTGTAAAATAACATGGGTCATGCACTAGACCCTTAACTTATGTCACTGCACAGCTGGGTGTGAAAGTTGGTGATGTGAAATTCCGGGGGATGTTGAACTTCGGCCAGGAAAAATTGTGAAATTGAGGTCTTTACAGGATTCAGATGGCAAATGTGCAATGTTGAGGCTTAAGTGGCCTACATAAGTAAAATACTTCAGAGATTTAG